CACTCACTCTTGCCATTAACTGGTTTACTCAATACTCAGTCCTTAACGACAATGTCAGTTTTTATCTTGACTCATTACAATGTAGATGTCTCCATTTTCTATAGGTAAGGCTGCTACTGATCGTATGTCAGCCGACATGGCTTTTGAGCTCCGCCGACACCAAGCAAATATTGCCGTGTTCTCGCTGTGGCCAGGTGCAGTGCAAACAGAGACCATTCAAGCGCTAATTGATTCGAATGCTGAAATTGGGTCTATCTTTGATGGTTAGTTTTACCCTATTGCTTTATTCTTTTCACAACCGTCCTACTAATTTGCTCTTTATAAATATCACTCAATTTTGAATAGATAGTTCCACCTTGATCGCTGCACCACGGGTTATAGGATCATTTTTTGATTGTGTTTCTCTTACAGCTACATTTTTCTGCTTTTTTATACAAAAAGTGCTTTTGAAGCTTTGTTTGAGAAAGATATCAACTTTATTATTCAGCCTCAACACTTTGGAGATCAATAGTTTTGCATTCTCCATTTTAGCTACTCACACCGCTCAGACTATGTAATCATGGACTTGTGATATTTGCTTATGCATCCTGTTTTGTTTGTTCTAATTCCCTGACCGGTGTTTAAATGCCAAATTTGCCATCGTCTATTGATTACTTTTTTTATTTATCTACAGTCACTTCAATCGCTACGATTATACCTTATTTAGTCTGTTTTTTTTTCTTCCGATTTTGAGACTTGAGCTTAATGACAGAAGTACCTACCGCAGGGACTGTTAGATAAAAAAACACCCTTGTGCTCTATCTACCAGTGTCGTCGTCCCAACTTGTGGATTCACACTAGTTTGACCCATCCTTCTACACACTTAATTTTTTCTGCATAACATAAAATCGTCTTCCGCTGAGCTGTAGAATTTTATTCTCTTTGGTATGCCAGAAAATTTGTTTGAATAAAAATAGGGTTTTACGAAATCAATTTCCTCGGCAGTTTGAGCTCACTCATT